AGATTTAATAGACCTGGGAAATATTTATATAAGTGGTGTATATGCCGTTGCTTTAAATATCACTGTAAACTGTAAATTTAGTGTAAAGTGTTGTTATGGAGATCTGAGTGACACTGGTGGGGAGTAGATTTCTGTCCCAGGCAGGGCTGGAGAGGCCACAGGGAGCACTAGTTTATTTCTTGGTGACCTGAGGTTTGTTTCGACCTGCCGAGAAAATTCAGTCAGCAAATAGTTTACAGATCGCCCAGAATCCATCCAGTCCAACACATGAGCTGAAACACAAAATAAGGAGTAATCATCTGCACAAACAGAGCAGCCTGGGATGATGTCCTGGCCTGTGTCAATCAGGCGCCTGGAAAAAAAGAAGGAGGACATGACGATTCTCACTCTCGCAGTGGAAAAATCAGAAATTCCTGAACATATTTGAGCTGCAGCCAAAATCTTGGAAAAAAAATCTGCGACTGGTTCTTGTGATACAACCTGATAAAAGGTGAGGAAATCAGCAAAACCGGCATCATTGTTCCTCTGGGAAAGATTCGAATGTCTGTAACAAGTCTTGTGCTGAAGCATCACAGAGACGGTGGCATTCAAATCAAAGCATGGCTAAAAAGGGAGAGCTGTCTATATACTGCATATTTGTGCTTTGTCCCTCCACAGCATTATTATACAACAGTTTTCTTTTCACAGATGCCAGTCTGGACTCTTATGCCAGACAGTCAGGATGCGATCTGTGCATCCCAGTTCAGGGTCTCATGAGGATACTGCCTTGTCTACTTCAAAAGCCCCTTCAGTGCTTTTGTCCACATTTATCACAGCTGCTGCTTAATTGTGCACTCCTCAGTGTCTGTTATACTGGAGACTGTTGTTAGTGTGGCAGTCAGGTGATGGTCAGCTGTAACCGAAACCAAAACACATATCAGGTTTAGTCAAAGCTGCAATAAATTAAAAATAAATAAAAATCTTTAACCCTTTGCTGTCACAGATGTGCAACATCCTGTTTGGGATCAATGAGCAATATTTTTATTTTGACAGGAGCTCGATTGTCTCCAAATGCTTTTGAAGCAGTGACAGCAAAGTGGACAGTGTTCATGCCTCAGTCTGTTCCTCACCCACACACTCAGAGATGTACAGGCAGAGCAGAGCCAGTGTTTCCGGGACTTTTATCCTTCACGTGGGTTTATCTGTTAAATCGCGCCACCTGCCGAATGTTTCAGTCATCAGCAGCTTTTAGTGGAGACAACAGAAAGCTACAATCACTGCTTCATTCTGCGCTTACGGTCAATAAGTTCTATGTGAATTTTAGGGCTACAGCGACACCTAGTGGTCAATAAAAATGTTACTGTGGGTCAGTGTCTGCTCCTATGTGTGCTCCACTCAACGACAAACTGCTGCTCATTTCATTCAGTCACAGTTCAGACTACAGATGTTTTTTTAGGTCCACACTTAAAGAAAATATAAACTGGCAGAAAAACGATCCACATTTGAACTGACAGAATGTCACCGTACCTAACTGTGCTGTTCAGAAACTATTAGTGTACAGAAAATGAGAAAAGGAGCATTTTTTGGTACCAAAACCCTATCTTATCTGCATATTTTCTCATTCTAAGTAAGCTGCATTGTAAATAAACTCTTTAACTTTTGTTCAGGACTCCTGCATTGGAGCCCCTTTTCATTCATCTGACTACAAATTCAGATATGCTTAGTATAATGCCCAACGGCAGAAGGTTGTGACTTTCTGTACAACATGTTTAAGCACAAGACAAAGAAGTACAATTGTCACTTAATACAACACACAGGGTATAGCACAACATTTGTGAAAAAGCAAAGGGCAAAATGCAAGTGCTACTGTAAAATGTAAATATAAGTTATATTTTACACTTCACTTACATTTACACTGTAAAATGTTAGTGTAACTGTAAAATTTAACTGTAACTTGCATTTTACATTTTGTTTACTTTTACACTGTAAAATGTGTAAATGTAAGTGAAGTGTAACATATAAGTGTAATGTAAAAGCACCTGTGCACAAATGTAAGTTGCACTAAGTGTAAGAAATATTAAGCAGTGTGAGATTCTGTGAAAAGGAAATGATATGTTTTTTTCTCCCACTGCAGTTGCTGTTGCTACAAGTCAGTTATGAATTTTGAATGTATGACCTTTGAGCCGTGCTACTCAAGCAGGATAAAGCACACATTTTTATTGTAGTTATTGGGATACAAATACACAAATATAATAAGGTAGCAGAAGTAGGATTTAAGAAAGTATTTCTATTGGTAAATAACAGGAAAGAAACCCTTGTTCAAATAAACTCATTAAAGTGCTGCTTCTTTAATGATAAACCTACAAGCAAACACTGTACATCATCTATAAACTTAATACATGAAGACATTTTAAAAAGATCTTCCAGCAGCTCCAGCACTGAAACTGCAGCTTCAGTGCAGCTTCAGTGCTCTGCCCCACATAAGATACTCTAAAGTTCAATACAGTGTTGACACAGAATGAGTCTGACTCACCATCCATGATGCAAAGAAACACAGCGTGCAGACTACGTGGTTTGATGTCAGCTTTTGTGTCGGTCTTTGATGACTTGTTGCTTATGGAGGTATGTTCCTGTGCTCTGTCTGTCACCAGTGGTTTGACTACCCCACGAGAGGTTGTTGAGTTGTTTTTCTTTTTGTTTTAATTGTATTTTTGAACTCTGAACTCATAAGACCATGTGACGTGTCCCTGATCTTAAACCAAAGATCCAAACAAAGTTGGATTCATAAAGTTCTTTTAAATCAGGCCTTGAGCTATAATCTAAGTTATACCATATTGATAAATTACCAAAGAACGAGTAGTGTAAAAATGTAGGCAGGATTCATGCAGTGCTATCCACCGTAGTGATCGTGTATAGGTTCATCTGATAGTTCCTAAACCATCAATAATGTGTCGTTGTCAGATAACTGTGGACTTATCAGTGGAAGTTTTATCCTCATTTACATACATTTGTCCTCCCTTAGCAGACATACCGGTAAGTGGATGGTTCAGATGAACCCTCGCTTGGGTCTTTAGCTCTTTTTAAAAACCTCTTTATAGATATCATCAGGAAGATTAAGAGACATTAGCAAACCTCGTGGTTAACTTATAGCTTTTGACTGGAATAAATAAATAAATATATCCAAACACCTTGCAGGAGCTAAGCTTGGGCTTGCAGTCTGTACCAGGACAATATTCAGGGTGTTCGCTTTACACTTGGGAGAAGAATATTTTCTCCTGTTCTTGGTCTTTCATTTGCATTTACAGATTACAACTTATCCAGACAATGAATGTGGATGCTCTCAAGGTTTTAAAAAGGATCCTCCGAGTCTCTCGCTCAACGTGCTGAAGGGTCTACAGTGATCCCAGCCTCGATCGGGCAGATGACCAGCTGGGCCGTTTTCTTCCCGTTGTCATGTATGCAGGGGTTAAAGTACGGATACAGCGGCTCAGTGAAAGTGAGCCCACTGTAAGTATAAATGTGAGTCTTTGCCTCTGTGTTGTAGAAGGACACCGAGCCTTCTTCATAGTCCAGGAATATACCGACTTTCTGAGGAATTTCTTTAAGGTGAAGAGTGACGGCGGGTCCAGCGCAGGCATACAGGCTACCACCGTTGCGTCGGCATATCGCCCAGTAACCGTTATCAGGGCGAACTGTGATGGCGCCCTTCCTGTTGATGGACTCCTGGGCCACCCCAAGATCCCAGTCTCTTTTATCCCCAACCTGAAACACAAAGAAGGACAAAATGATGCTAAACTGCAGAGCAGAGCTTCATTTCTTTAGGTTGCTTTTTAAATGATAATAAAATTTTTACTGACAGTAAACACAGCAGATATAAAATCAGAAGTGAACATCATGTAGCCACCAGGGGGCGTGAAGAGTTTTATTTTCCTGCTTGTTTAGATCATATACATTATACAGTCCTAGTCACAGGTTGTGTCGTTGTGTTCATGTGTAATTTTCTTTGGTGTATTTTAATCCAAATCTTACTCTAAATAAAGCTGTTGTGTTCCACTTTGGATAATATTCACACTGATCACGACTATAAGCTGTTTAGCAGCAGGCATGTGCAGAGGGGGGGGGGGGGGGGGGGGGGGGCTAGAGGGGCTTGAGCACCCGCCCCTTTCCTGATGGGTGCCCAAGGTGCCCTTTTGTTGAGGCAACTTTTTAAAAAAAAATATTATTATTATTTTTTATGTGTGTGTGCGTGCGGAGTCCTGTCTGTGCCCCTCAACAATAATATTTAACTATTAATCACAGTTTTGCTAAATAAAAGGATCTGGCTTGCATCAGTCACATGATCACATTTAACCAATGATCGCCCTTGACGGCAGAACGCGCTGGTTACGAGCCGGGAACGAGCTCACAAAGAGCACGCGCATTTTTAGCGGTCCGGAGCTGTAGGAGAAACACAAGTTAACTCAGAGACACAGACTGATGCGACAAAACCAGTAAGTAGGTGTACAGCGTACACTGTAGTGTGTAGCACACAGGAGTATTAGCTTATTACGTACACGTTGGTATGTTGAAACAAACGAGCGTGCTGTGTGTGCAACAGCGCGACAAACATTACCTGTCCTTTTATTAACTGCACAAGTAGTGCTGGTCATAGCTGCTGGCTACCTGTGTAAGGCTGTCATGGGTCTGTAGCTCTGTCACCGTTTTAGGGAACATATTTAGTTTTAAAGTAAGTTTCCGGGCTTTTCCTGCCTTTCTGGAGGGATTATATTTCACTAAAAAACGATCTAATATGCATGTCCACATAATTATGCATTATTATAATTATAATATATTAAAAAACACACGCTGTATTTTAAAGAACATACATTAAGAAGCAGATTATATTAGATTTATATTTTAAATAAGACAAAATTTGGATTTTACAGCAGTAAAATGATTGTATCTCTACAGTTTAAAAATGTAATAAGCTTTGCCCCTGCACAGAGTGGATAGTGAAACAAATGGAATCATCATAATGACATTATTTCATATTTATTACTTCCCCCTCCTCATTGCTTTATTATTGTAGCTCTAGTAATAAATAATAATGTAAGGATTCTGGATCAGCACCATGATGCCCATAGTATATACAGTATTCTGAAGAAGGTCTAAAATGTCACTGTGTGTGCGTGCATGTGTGTGTTTTATTTAGATGGATTTTTAAAAAAATATTACTCATGATATAACATTGTCCAGACATGGCTGGTAAGGACATGAGGAGGAAACAGCAGGAGCTGTGTGAGGCTACTAAAGGCAGTGCTATAACATTTTTCTGTCATCATTTAGATTAAGTGCTGGAGTTGTTAGGTGTGGATAATTAGATTATAGTTTATTGCAATAGCAAGTTGTGCCTTGTTCTCACATATTAAGTGGAGAGTGATATATGAAATGATGGGATGGAAGGAAGAAGAGAAGCAAAGAGTGAATCACAGGCAGAGCCTAAATTATTTCTCACAGTTTTTTGTTGCCTTATGGTTCCAAGCGCTGTCACCAATCTTTGCATTTTGTTATTATCTCATGACACTTGTTTAATCAGCTACCATCTCTCCTATGGACTTTTTAATGTCTACAGTCTCAGATCAACACAGCCCTGCCCTTCCCATATTAGATTCTTGATGAATGTGTGTTGTTGTTATTCAGCCTGGTTCAATGTGCCCCTTTTTAACTTTGAGCACCCGCCCCTTTAAACCTCTCTGCACGGCCCTGTTTAGCAGTTATTTATTTTATCCTTTTATCCTACCTGAACCACCCAGTAACGTTTCCCAGATGTGAAGCTTTGTTTTCCCAGCACGGCGACGCAGGAGTCGAACCTGCGGGGGTCGTCAGGTAGCGGGGTCCTCCCCGGCTGGTAGCTCATGCTCACCTGTGGATTGCCACGATCACATTCATACAACAACTACTGATGCCGTACTTGTCATTATTTTGCATCTGCCTGACTTCTGATCCACTAGTTTCCATCATTTTAGTTCCTGCATAATATTTGTCATCCATTAGCTGTTGTCTGTAATTCACAGAATCTAATTTCACAGACAAGAAATGCAATTTCCCAATAATAGGTGTTTTAATAAGTGTTTTCCCAATAATATTACAGGGCTAAACTGAACTAGTGTGTATAACTAACTAAGCAAATGACTTTACACTTAATTATACAAACAGCTGCACATGTATCATCGCTTTGTTGGATCATTTTTTACAGCAGGACAAGACTTTGTTTAACTCCGAGCTCTTGTTAAGGTGTTACAGTCAGGAATCATGCAGCTGATAATTACAGCTCACCTTTTTATTATCCGGGGACAGGACCACCCAGCCAGCAGCAGTAGCAGGATCCAGAGTTACATCCACTGGAGACAGAAACAGAAGAAAAACACATAAAAAGATTTGCTATTTCAGATTTATTCTAAATTTTCAGGATTAAAGAAATAATATGAAAAAATAACCCTGTTGTTTTGAAGCATATTGTTACTGAAGTCACCTTTTTTGGCAACAGAGTATCTGTATTCTGAATCATGTACATGTATAAAGATTATTTGAATCAGTGTGAAGAGCCACTTTCTTTCTACTGACATCAGTAGAGTCTTTATTAGATATGATGGTGACAAATTTTCAGTCTTGTGTTAATCCATATGAACGTAATCACGAATATAACTTGGGTTGTTTGTAAATTTACTTCATTCGGTTTTTCTCTCCTTTTTCTTTTCCGTGCTGACAGAAACTTCACAATGTAAATATCATATCCATACACATACCTGCATATTTATTCATCTTGTTTACCTCTGCAAAAGATCAGAAAAGAAACTGTGTCATTTTAGTGTCATTAAACATTAACGTAGAACAATTAAAATATTCACTAATATTTTAGCGACTGTTACAAGATTTATTTTTGGTCCCTAAGTGTATCACTAAAGTTAGTTATGTGCAGACTTATAGTGTAAAATATGATATAAATATATATGCAATGCAAAAAGTGGCAGGATTATGATAAAACCAAAGGAACCGGTGATGCAAAGAAAGTCTTGTGTTCTAAAATCAGAGACTATAATGTCATGTCATCATAAGGATTACAGACCCTCTGCACACAGCTTCCTCTCCAGTTCCTGGCAGATGTCGACCAGTTTGGAGAAATTTCTCCTCACAGTCCGTGCGTAGCTCTCCGATTGGACTCTGACGTCAGCCCAGTGCTTGACGGACATCGGAGTGTTCAGATGTAAAAAGTTCTAAAACAGCATCAGTGACAGAAATGAGCACAAATAAATGATTTCACTAACAAGCAGACAGGCCGGTTTGTATTCATATCATATTACAATCGCTTTAGATGCTTTAAACTTGCTTGGCTGCACAGAAATATTAAACATAAATACTGATTCTGACCTGCTGGAGCTGAACTGGGTTCTCAATGTGCTCCAGGAGGTGCAGCTCACTGCATCTCTTCTGCAGCTCATTGATCTCCTGGCTGATCTCCTTGAGAAGCTCCTCTGCTCTCTTCTCAGCCACCTCCTGCTTCTGTTCGATCTCCTCGATGAGCAAAGCCTGGTTTCTCTCAATGGCACTTACCATCATTGTGGCATTCTGAACGCTGGCCTGTATCTCTCTTTCTTTATTTCTCTGCAGATATGAAAAGAGTTTAATTAATATGTGAAATATGTTAAAATGCACCACCTTTGTACTTCGCTACCCCTTCATCAATGAAATTCAAAACAAATTAAACTTAGGCAAAAACTGCTTATATACGATGATTCTTATTAATAAGCCCATAATTTAACACATTTCCCCCAAAAAGAAGATGACCTCAGTGAGACCAGCCTGCAGTCCTCTGATAACAGTTGATCTATTGTCCCAACCCACCTCCAGCCCTGCTTTTCCATGTCTCTTTATGTCCACATAATGAAGGTTTATTATATCAATAAAAACAACTAATAAAAGATGAAAAGAGCTCTTAAAGCAGAGCTACGCTGCCATATATGAATTACTAAAGATGGAAAAATACTTTGCCTGAAGTAATCCTGACTTTAGAAGATATGCAAGGATTTTAGCTTTTGAGTTTCTATAGTTACTCTGCCCTGTAATCAGAGTCTTTTGTGCACAAGGTTACTTACACTCTGCATGGATATAATAGCAGGATAAACTGCAAATAAAAGCCAAAAGTGGATTCCAGGCTTGAAAAGTGAGGCTAATGCATTTTTTAAAATGACCAGCAGGGGGAGTCTCCTCTGTCTTTTAAATACAGTCTACATGAAGCAGAACAACACTGCTGTTTTTCTTCTGGTGTGAGCTTCTACAAACAAATTGGTTGAAGTTTTGTTTCTTAGAGAGCAAACAGGCCGAGAAATGTTCATGTCTGTAAATGATTAAAAAGCAATGCTCACTTTGCTCAGCTCCATTGACTGTTTGATCTCCTCGGTCTTTCTGATTCGGATCTGGATCATCTGTTGATACTGCTCTTGGGTCTTCTTTATCCGAGTCTGCAGAGGCTGAAGTTGAAAACATGTATTTTACATCTTGGATTATCTGGAGTTCCTTACAAGATAATCCATGAGCATCGTTACATTTAACCACTCTTTCTCCCACCTTGATCTTGATCTCCTTCTCTCCTCCAGACCTAATTGGCAGTAGTGGAATGATGGGTCTCTTTGCTTTGAATCCTGGCATTTCCTTTAACAAGCTTTAAGATGATGATGTACATCTGATTAGTTTCAATCAAATGTGCTAAAACGTTGAAATAAAGCACTATAGTATAGTTACAGTCAACCAACCTTTGAAATCTTTCAGTGATTTCTTTTAAGGTCCAATTCACCCTGAGTTCGGGGCGACTTCCGAAGGATTCTTTGCACAGCGGACAATCCGACTTTTGTGCCACATCCCAATAACGTTTGATGCACTCCAGGCAGAAATTGTGCCCACACAGGATAGAGACAGGGTTTTTGAAGCTGTACAAACAGATGCTGCACTGAAATTGCTCTTCAGACAATGTGGAGGCCATGTTTCTGACAGAGAAATAACATTTTGTTACCCACACATGTTGAAATTCTTCTGTACACTATGCTCTTAAGGTCAGATTGTAAAGATGCAGGTTTATAAATCTAAGTTTAAAAAAATCTAAATGGCAAAGCAAGAAGACTAAAGGATATTTTTAAACATAAAATCAAAGTAAAGCGTCCAGTGTGCCCTTTTCACTTATATTTCACAGAACAGGGCAAAACACATGAAAGCTCATCATGCTGTAGCACAGAGAAAAGTGGACAGATTTATTTCAGATGCTTCTAAGACAACAACTATGTTTAAGTTCAATCTGCAGACTGCAAATATACAAGGGTTCACAAACAGAGTCTGAAGGTCCTAGTGGCAACATATTGTTACATTTTTATGAATCTAATGGATTTACCAGTAAAGAGATCAAAAAATGGGCTGTGAAAGAGGCAATAGAAGGAGAAAATCTCAGACTTTTCATTGACTGAATTATTGACTACAATAATTTTCTTTGTAGTCAAATTTAAAATCAAAGAAATGCTCATTATTTCAGCGTGGATTAACTAAATTAAAAGAAAGAAATTTTGAGACAATGGGTAAAATTCAAATGAAAGCAATATAAAGAGAAATTGTTTCTGAACCTTTTCTTACAATTTCATCACTATATTAACTATTTTACTCACTTACTTTAATTTTTTCCCGATAAATCAGCCCTCAGCTCTTTATTAATGCATTTTATTTAGCCACTGCTCTCCCCTTACTGAGTTCTCTCTAACACTCAAACTGCAGTCAACGTGTTAAAAATGTAAAAGTAGTCATAGTTGTTGCTCTAATTTGAAGATTGAAACCTGAGATTACATCCAGAATACACACACCTACATTTTACACATCATCTCTGAGATATCCACTTTTACTATTTCTGTGCCTCTAATTAAAAATATTGCTGTCAATATTTGGATCAAAAGTCAGTCTATCTTGAAGAAAAGGCAGCTGATGTCTTGTTTCATGTATTTTTATTCTCTATGCTATCTGCTTGGTATAAATAATCACTTACTTGTTTAGGTCATGCAGGTAGACGGTCCTTGAAAGATATGAAGAATAAATATCCACAAAACACGCTTGTCTCTCTATAAAATAAAACATGGTACAAAGTTCCTCCCACAGTGGAGTTTCCCAACGAGTTACACCGGTTATTCTTGTTCTGCCTGTTAGCTTTTCCTGGTATTTACTCTACATTTTAATTGCTATAATAATCTAATAATCTACCTTGCTACACAGATGCTGGTTAAAATGTACAAATAGAACTAGAACAATGGAAATACAAATAGTATAAATAAATAAATGGAGAGAAAAATTGAAGTGTTAAATAGATTTGTGTGCAAAAGAGCTACGAGCTTAATATGCTGGTTTAATATGTAAGATGACCTTATGTGCAAAAATTATTATTTTATATTATATTATCTTGGGAAGAGGGATGATTGTTGTGGTCTTGAAGCATGTGGGGACGGGACTCTGGCTGAGGGAGAGGTTGAAGACGGGAGTGAGAACATCAGCCAACAACTAGCACATGCTTTAAGGACCCGTCCTGTCTGGTCCTGCTGCCTCAATACATTGAGGTCATCTAGCAGACTGCCTACAGAGCTGATGGTGCCGATATACCCGGTCACATATTCAGCATAATCCTGTATATTGACAGAGCAGATCTCCTGTGTGGCTGCAGTTTGAAACACATCCCAGTCCTGTAGGATGCTCTCAGACTCTGGGGTCCACAGTTTAACAGGTGTGATGACAGGGTTCGATTGTTTCAGTTTCTGTCTGTAAGCCGGGTACCTGAACAGAGAGATGTAGTCACACTGTCCAAAGTGGGGCTGTGGTGCAGCCCTGTATGCACCGTGTATGTTGCTGTAGACGTGATCCAGGGTGTTAAGCAATGTTGCTGCGAGATGCCACAAATCGTAAAATCTTTCATTGTTAAGTTTGTAGTCATTTTAAATCTGTAAACAGAGTAATTCATTCGAGGAAGCTCTGCGTCACAGAGGCCTTGATGAACACACCCATGGTTGTTGGGATGAATCATTCCCAGGTCAGAGCTGGATTTTTCTAATCCATCCTATGTGACACATAGCCAGCTAAAAATATGCAGCAATGCTTTTCAGGTCATTTACAGTAATTGCATTAGTGGCATATCGGTATAAACACACCCAAATAAAGACAATAAACACCATCAGCAGCCAGCACACAGACTGGCTCCCTGATACCAGCACCTGTTAAAGCTTCAATTATTCCTAGTTTATGTAGAAGAAGAAATGAGGTGCTACAGCTCCTGCTTCTGTTAGAAATATCACTGTTCCTACTCTGCTCTGTTTTGTTTCACTGGGTCACACTCATACTGTGTCATGACTCATTCAGGTTCCCGCTGGACGCGTCCTGTTTAACCTTTCAGCTGAATGCCACACCAAACTCACGTGTTTCACACTTCCAGTACAATAAGTATTAATTCTATTGTTCTTGCTTGTTCTCTGCACGAGTGTTGCCAATATGCACGTGTGTAAACCTGGCACGCTGTCACAGCATTGCACTTTGAACTAGGAAGTCATTTTTACAATGACAATTTTGGTTTCCAGTAATCTTCTAAAACAGTTAGCCCAAAAGAGATGACAGGTGAAACTGCTAGTGTAAAACTTCCTGGTATTTTTTGTTATTCAGCTCTTCACGTGCTATCTATAAATATACTGAACAGTGATGTGGGTATAAAGAGTGGTAAAGAGGGCCAGCTCTGTCTTGGCCAGTCCCCTAGACTCCAAAGAGGAGGATGTTAGCCAAGCAAAGGTTTATTATGGACAACACTGCTAACCCCCTGCATGATACTGCAGAGGCCCTGAGCAGCTCCTACAGCAACAGACTCTTCCTGGCACTGTGTAGGAGACAGGTTCTTTATTCCTGCCTGTCTGGTTAGGCTCCTCCTACGCTCACCAGACAAAACATGACACACATGCTTACCAAATCCTTGATGAGAAGGAAGAATGAGGCTTTGGGAATTTAGGCCACGTAGTGAAAAGATTGACAAACACAAGGATTAGCTCATGTGGACGTCAAAGTTCACTTCCAGTTGGATGACACAGTTTTATTTGTTTGAGCTATTAGCATTAATTTTTCAGTTTTTAGTGAAGTTTTATTTGACTTACTTCCCTTACAACTACCAGAAAAAAATCACAGTTTGGTGTTAAAGTACTTCCTGGTACTCTGAAAGGCCTAAAGTGAAACTCCACACGTGTTCCTCTGATCAAGCAAAATCCTGTTTAGCCATGGCTCAATGAGGTCGGGGGGTGTAGCAATTTTATTCAATAACTTTCCTGGGGATCTTGTAATACAACGAACTGACTTGAATGGTCATTGGTTGATTGCTGTAATGAGAGTTGAAAGTTTGTTTTTCATTTTAGTCAACGTTTATGGATATAACAATGAAAGTCAGAATAAAATTATGTTAGAAGATATAACTTCAAATATTTTTGAACTTAAAGGTCGATACCCTACAGAATACATTTTAATGGGTGGTGATTGGAATATGACTCCTGATGAATGGACTGATAGATGGCCCTCAAGGACAGGTAGACCACAAAAAAATAACCTAATTATAGAATTTTTGATTAATAACAACTTGACAGATATTTGGAGAGTTAGAAATCCAGAAATTAAGAGCTTTTCCTGGTTTAAACCAAATGGAGCTTGTAAATCTAGAATAGACTATTGGCTAGGAAGTGACATCATTCTTAGCCACACTGTAAAAGTTGCAATGTCAAATGCACCTCTATCTGATCATTGCTTTATTGAACTGTGCTTAGAGTCGGAAATTAGACAATCAAATAAAAGAACTTATTGGAAGTTCAATGCCAAACTTTTACAAAATGAAGACTACTGCAACATAGTCAAAAAAATTATAAAAGATATTATGGCTGATCATCTAATTGTAGGATATATCATCCATCCATTCGCTTCCGCTTATCCTTTTCAGGGTCGCGGGGGGCGCTGGAGCCTATCCCAGCTGTCATAGGGCGAAAGGCGGGGTACACCCTGGACAGGTCGCCAGTCTGTCGCAGGGCCAACACACAGGGACAGACAACACATTCACACCTAGTGACAATTTGGATTAATCCAATTAACCTATCCCCACAAGCTGCATGTCTTTGGACGGTGGGAGGAAGCCGGAGTACCCGGAGAGAACCCACGCAAACACGGGGAGAACATGCAAACTCCACACAGAAAGACCCCGGCCTGATGGTGGAATTGAACTCAGGACCTTCTTGCTGTGCGGCAACAGTGCTAACCACCGTGCTGCCATAAGGGAATTCATTAAATTCAAAATTAGAGAATTTAGTATTCAATTCAGTAAAAACATAAGTCAAAAGCAAAGAGAATATGAATGTAAATTATTCCAAGAAATTACTTATTGCTGTAGTAAAGATGATCTAAATACCCAAGAAAGGAGTAAACTTATGGAGTTGCAAACTAAATTAGATCAGCTCTACCTAAATAAAGCAGAAGGAGCTTTTGTGCGTTCACGGGCCAAGTGGATTGAGGAGGGGGAAAGAAATTCTTCATATTTTTTTAATTTAGAAAAGAGCAGACAGAAAAGAAATTTTATATCTTCTCTGTTAATTGATGGCATTGAATGTGACGACCCTAAAATTTTGGAGAATGAAACTTATACATTCTATTCCAATTTATACTCCTCACAGTTCTCCCAAGCAGATTGTGATGTCTTTTTTGATCAAATAGATAATCTGATCCCTAAAATTGATGAATCATTTAAGGAATTATGTGAATCTGACTTCAGAATTGAAGAGTTAGATGCATCTGTTAAGAAAATGGCACTTAATAAATCCCCTGGTCCAGATGGGCTTACAGTTAATTTCTTCCAATTTTTTTGGGAAGACTTACGGGAAATTTTATTCAAAGCTATACTGGCCAGTATTGAAAAGGGAGAATTGATGTCTAGCATGAAACAAGGATTAATTACATTAATTCCTAAACCAAACAAAGATAAACGACAATTGGATAACTTAAGGCCCATAACTTTATTAAATACAGATTATAAAATTTTCTCTAGCTCAGTTGCAACAAGGCTCAAACAAGGGGTTTCAAGTATAATTAGTGAGACACAATCAGGGTTTTTGAAAGACAGGAACATTCATAATAATATCAGATTGGTTTTAGACTTACTGGACTACAATGATCTAATTAGTGATGACATTGTGGCGGAGGCGTGGCCCCGGGCGCAGCTGCAGGGGAGGAGTGGAGCGGAAGGCTCAACAGGGCGGCGCTGCGAGGCCGGTAAGAACAGCTGATGTTGTTTATGGACTGATGATGGTCTCCCTCCGCTGTGTTTATAGTGAGACGAGGAGGAGCGGCCAGAGAGAGATCAGCTGGGCTCGTGAGCTGTCAGACTGTGTGACTGAGTCAGCTGTGAAAACAACAACACTTAAATAAATGTGGAAGTTGGCTGTACCTACCTGTGTGTGCGTGTGTCTGTGCCTGGTGTATTCCACAGACTTTTATTCTTTTCTTGGACTTTTATAAAGCTTTCGATTCAGTAGAACATCCTTTTATTTTAGAAACACTAACTCGATTTGGATTTGGGGATAAATTTAGGAAGATAATAGATATACTGTATAATGATATAAATAGCTCTGTGTCATTAGGCTATGGCACTGGTAAAAGATTTAGCGTCAAAAGAGGAATTAGGCAAGGGTGTGGAAGCTCTCCGTTGTTGTTCATAATGGTTGTGGAGATGCTCGCAATTCTAATTAAAAACAGCAGCGTTGCCGGAATTGAGATTATGGACAATTCTTTAATAATTAGTCAACTTGCGGATGACACTACTCTTTTCTTAAAAAATGAACATCAGATTCCCCTGGTAAAACAAATAATCACTACATTCTCAAAAGCTTCAGGCTTAAAGTTAAATTTAAATAAATGTGAATTATTGGCATTAAAGGAGTGTAATTCACAATTACTGTACGATATAAGGGTGAAGAAGGAGGTAAAATATTTGGGCATCACAATTTCAAAAGATCACAAAGTCTTAGAAAAAGTAAATATTTTAGATAATGTTGACAAATGTAAGACAATCCTAAATAAGTGGTTACAAAGAGACATCACAATTTTTGGAAGAATATTATTAACCAAAATGGATAGTTTATCTAGATTTATATATCCAGCT